GGCCCCGGACACTTATGGTGTTTTTCTTATTGTACTAATGGCCCCCCTATTTCTTTGGGCTTTTTTTGCACCGCCTCCCAAGTATTTTGCTTTCCTAGGGAGTGATTTAGTGTCAATTGGGGACCGTCCCCCTGGGATTTTCTAGGTGACTTTTTGATCTTTTTCTCTCGCATGCACCTAGTAGTAAAGTCAAATGCTTCCAAGCGTTCCCATTTTTAAGAGTTTAATTGAACGTTATGTGCAGTGGGGTTCTTTGTACATTCTCTAGATCTACTTTTCACCTGCCTGGATGGAGTTTTTATGTACAGCAGAATTCCAGCCTAGGAAACAAGCGTTTTAAAAGGGGAACTCTTTGGCTTGGCATTTTGTTTTAAAAATTTTTCCATTATCCTCCATCATTTTCCTCGCAGATGTGATAGCTGCACTGTCATCACCTTGAAGGTGAATCCTCAGATTTTACCATCCCCGATCCTTCACTTACTTTGCGCTCTATTGTGTGACTGGAGTTTATAGTTACCGTCCTAGTTATTTTTTTCCTCCTTTTTCCCTAACGAGTATTTTTGGAATTTGTTTCTTTAACATCATATTGTTCCCCGTTGCCTATTGAAAAACTTGGTTTTATCTTCTTGGAGCTTGCGTTCTAAAGGGGGATGACCTCTCATCAGATCCTAGTATCGTCGATAAGATATACAGTGCGTGGTTACATCTCTGTCATTCTGATATGGGGATGGGGAAACAGGATAGGTGTGGTGTGTTGGGTTGTGGTGTGTGTGTGTGTGTGTGTGGTGTGAGGTGTGTGTTTTGTATGTGTGTGTTGTACGATTTTCCGAGTTATACTCGGCGAGTTGTTTTTCCCGGAGTGGTGACTCAACTCCTGGCCCCCCCTGGGTCATTTTAATCGGTATTACTGATTTCTGCCCCCTTTGGGATTTATCATATTGCTCTTGAAATGTGTGTTATTTTGTCTACTCACTGACGCGCCCCGGGTCAATCCACTTTTTACCACAATGAAACTTAAGAAATACTGGTTTACAATTGAGCGAGTGCAACTCGTGAGTGTAACACACACACACCACAACACAACCACACACACACACACACACACCCCAAACACACACATACAAACAATACACAATACATGCACATACCATACATACACAACACAACCACACACAACACATACACACACACACATACACAACACACCACACCAACACACACACAACAACACAAACCCACACAAAACACAACATACACACACACAAACATACACAAACACACACACACAAACACACACACACACAAACACACACAAAAACACACACACACACACACACCCACACACCACCCACACACACACCCACACCATCACACACACACCACAACACACACACACACCACACCCACACACACACACACACACACACACCACACACACCCCTAACCTAAAAAAAAAACCATTACTTAAAAACCCCCCCACCACACACATTTTTTTGCGATAAGTGAGCAGCTAGAAATCCCAACGGGATAAAAAAAAAATGGGCTCTAAAAAAGGGGGGACGAAAGGCAAGGGAACCATGAGGTTTATTCGGAAAAAGGAAAAATGGGGTAAAAACGGCTCAAGAAAAAAATGGAACAACAATTGGGAAAAAAGTTAAACGAGTTTTGCAAAAACATGTTAGAGAAAATATCTGCAGAGAGCAAGAAGTGGGAACCGAGCTGTAGTACTAAGGCAAAGATACAGAGATTGGAGAAGAAATGGATGTCTGAAGCGGGGACTAAAGATGGGGGTCTGAAAGGACAAGATACAAAAGGGGGAACATCAGCAGGCACGGGGGCTGAAGGAGCGGATGGATCGGCAGTCTTTGCAGCAGTAATACGGGCCACATGGTGTCGGGAGATGATTGGGGAAACAGCAAAGGAAAAGGTTTAAATCAGATCCAAAATTACAGGGGAAAAGAAAGGGGAAAGGAGAGGGAGAGGTCATAATTTTTCATGGGCTTCAGGAGCTGAAGGGCAACCTATGATGAAAAAAGTTTTTGGAGAAAACAGAGTTTAAAGAACAAAACTGCAATAAAGGAGAGAGGGACATGTCTCAGGTAGAAAAATTTCACAGACTTGGGGGGATTTAGGAAAAAAAATCGCCCAATCAGAATTACATTCAAGACAGTGGGGTAGGAACAGGATACTACAACAGAAACCACAGTTAAAGGACTCTCCGTTTATAAAAAAAAGTGTTCCTCAACCCGAGCAGAACACGAAAGGAAAAAGGAACAACTGAAAGTGAGAGCAAGCAAAAACCATGGAAGGAAAGAGAGACAGGACAACAGCGACAGCCCAGGAAAACTACCCTTTGGGGAAACATCAAACACAAATGCTTACAAAACCTCTAAACCCCCTGCACTATATATCACCCAACACAGTAAACGAAACGAACCTCACTCCATACCCCACCACCCTAACACTAATTCCACAATCACAGCGCCTCCCATAAATTGTGCCCTGCCTCCCACCCTCCCACCCAGCACCTTCCCTTCCACCCCCCCAAAAACAGTAAGGGAAAGGGACAAAAGGGTATGGTACCCCAAAATCAGATGGAATAACAAATAGAGTGAAGAGGGGCAAAACGAATCATTGGCATCACCTGACATCTTACACAAACAGAGACAAAACTTACAGGGTTGATAACAGTCCAATTTTTCCCCTGGATATAAATTTATGAGGAAAGACAGAGGAACAAGAAGGGGGGGGGAGTAGCTTGCCATAAAAAACCAGTGGAGTTTTGGGAATTTAGGAATGGAAAGAAGGGAAACAACACTTCATTGAGGAACACTCAGACTGGGGGTCTGAAGGCCACCCACCCTTAACAGGGGGGAAACAAAAAAGATATGAGTGCGCAAAGGGCAATGGTGGATCCTACTGAAGGGGCCAGGGGGCCAATGGGTAGGACAAAATTGCTTTAAGGGGGTTTTCAATCATAAAGAGATCCCTGGGAAAGCCAGGCCACTGGGGGACCAGAAACATGGGGGCTAAGAGTTGGAGACAGTATTGGAGAACTTTATGCTCAACATTTAGGGTACAACCAGGAGAGAGGGGAGGATGTTGCAGCAAGGTGGACTCATTCACCTTTAAAAAGTTCAACATAAGGGTATCACCCCCGAAAGACCCCTTGGGGCTAGTGATCATGAATGTCCTAGTTTTGAACATCTTGTTGATTAACAGTGGGGAATGCACAGCCAGAAACAAAGAGAGAAACCAAAAAAAAAGGGGGAAATACATAGGAAGAAAGTTTCCTGCATGAAGTGCATGGGAAAGGAACAGATGGAAAGACAGTAAATTTTAAAAGATGGAAAAATTTACCACTATTCAGGGGGGCAGGGAAAAGGGTTTAACCAAAGGGGAAAGAAAAAAAAAGGTTTTAAAAC